GTAGCACGTATATGATTAGTTACAGCATGGAATCAAAATCTTTCTGAACAGGAGAAAAACTATCTGACTCACTTGAGTCAACTTTTTAATAAACTTCTCAGCAATTGATGTCTGGACTTTTCACAGCCATAAATATTTGTACAACAAGGAATACAAGAACACCTTTTGAGTTAAACTTCTAATTGGCATGCCTATAATTAGAAGTATCTCAAGCAAAATTTATTTCTGAAAAGGTGATTTTTTTCTTTTTTTGAGGTTGTCTGATCAGTTTTGAAATAAAACTATGCAGGAAATCTGAGCAGAGAGAATAAAACCAGGAATTAAACCTGGATCCAGTATTACATGACTTAGGTCTCTCAAGAGGATACTGGCAGTTAGTAAGGCTCCATTAAAATCTGTAAGCCGAGTGTGTGGTTAAGGGCTTTCCTAATGGGGCTCCTAGAAATTTGAAGCATTTCAAATTGTAAATATTTTTGAGCTGATTTAAGGCTTGACACACCTGAGAATGGTTAAACAACTATACAGAGACATTTACAGTGTTTAGAGTCTGCAGGACTCAGTCTAGACAAAAGGTGTTGATGACTTATACATCAGCATAAAACATATCAAGGATTAATATTATGTAATTTCTTTTTTTCTCTGCTTAGATTTTTTTATTGCACCCACCTAATATCTCACATGGATTTTGGGTGGGAGTTTTTTTCATATGTTCTAGCTGATATTTTGAAAGAGATGGTTGATACTTTGCCAGGGCAAAGGGAAAGGATGAGGTTTACTTGCTGGAAAGATATGCAAGGATGAAAGAAAGCTGGAGTCTGAAGAGAATAAGAGACAGTACAGAGGTCAGGAATTAGTATCTTCCTTATTGCCACGTGCCTTAAGCTTTGTGTCATGGCTGGTGCAGTCTGTTCTGGTAACAGAGCAGCACAAGCTTTCTTATCCAACCACATCTCTTCTCCTTGAGGTTTGATCCAATGTGGAATCTGGGCAAAAGCAATCATCTCTCTCCTAAACTTTGAGGAGATAGTTTTGCATGGCAACTTTCTTTGAAACCCTCCTAGTATGTGGAAAAGTAGATTTCTCAGTCTTCTGGGCACAGATTGCTGGGACCAGGACACAGATAATTCATCTGGGCAATGGCTGTGTGTAAGAGTGTTTTGAGGGCTGCAGAAGAACAGGCTAAAGTTGGAAGGAGTCTGTAACTCCACTTAGGATGCGCCTGTGTGCTCTGAGTCACTGACTGAGTGTGTGAGACAAGAGCAATTTTGGCATAAACAGAAGTGTCTCTTCTCATCCAGAATATGAATCACCTGCTTCTGAGTGTATCTTTTTTCGTTAATTTTTATTAAGTAAACAGATTTCAGAGGCTTCAATACATCCAAATATGTGGTTTTTACTGGCACAGTGTAGGACCTTCCAAGCAAAGGAATCTCACTCACCTGTTGGGGCCAGTATCTTTTATACTTTTCCCAGAAACATGTCTGAGTAATCAGAGCAATGCCAGAAACATTGTCCTGCTGCAAACTTTTTCCCAGGAGTATCACTGTTTATAGACACTAATGCAGTCTAAATTGCCAAGAGATCTTTATTCCCAGTTTACTTTTGTTAGTCTTTTTACTTTATCAACTTCTACCTTTGAAGGAATAAGGTCTTGTTAAGTTAAAATCTGGAAAAGGAGGAAGAAGTTGATCAGATGTGCTGTCTCTGAAAACACTGCACTTGGGCCAGAAGTTGTCCTGGTGAGAGGCGAGCTCCAATTTGTAGTTCTCTCTTTAACGTAACTGGTATAGAAAATTATGGAGGCAGTGGCTGAGCAGATCTGTGGCAGTGTAGAGGTGCAGTCTGGGAGAGGGCTGACAGAAGGCCATGAGAGCTTTCAAATTCCATGTTTCCTTATGGGTGGTGCAATGGAGATCTTTATGAAGCTTCACATAAGATATGTCTTAAAACCACAATTAGTTTATTTGAACTTGTTTTTTTCTTGTTCTTGGCAGGCAAGGGGGCTTATCTCTTTAGATGTGATTTTTTTTTCCTTTCACATATAAAGAGAAGATGTGATAGGTAATTCACAGGTTTTGTTATAGATCATAGGAGAAAATAAAAGCAATTGGATTCAGTGCAATGGGAGCCACATTAGGTGTATCAATGGTCCCCTCTTGGCATTGACATGTATTTGATGTGTTGTATGTAGGTATTTCAGATGGCAAAGTCCTGTTGTCACACCTTTTTCCTTGACTCTCACCAGGTAGCTGAGACTTCAGGCTCTTCCAGCTCTTGTTAGTAAAAGTTATGTTAGTGTCAAGTTATGAGCTCAAGTGGCTAACCAGACTTTGGGTTATTCATTATGTATTGATCACCTTGGTTCTGAGACAATAGTTCACAAGGCAAGATGAATACGCACTGTTCGTATCATAAATCTATGAGGGAGGGAGGGAGGGATGGAGGGAGGGAGCAAGGAAGGAAGGAAGGAAGGAAGGAAGGACTGGCTGGGCTGGGTAATCCCAGTCCAGCTAATCCTGCAGGAGCTGTGCCCATGGCTCCTTCCTTTGGTCATTCCTTTGGTCTGATGTCTGAGACAGCAGAGGCGAGCACAATATCAAGTCCAAATGCACAGTATGTGCTCTCAGCACCCAGGCCTCAGTGTCAAAGGCTATGTCAAGATACCTTCTGAGGTAGGTGGTCTAGTGGGCAGGATATCCACCACTGAACTCCAGTAGCTTGTGACCAAAGGCTAAAACACTGCAATCAGGCAGACTCCTTTCCCACTTTACAATTTCATGGGGAAGAAAACATCTAAGAAATCATTCTCTTGACTTTTTCATTGCATCAAGTTTACACTTGAGTATTTCCTGAAGTTGATGACTTTGACACCTTTGTCACTTGGATTTTAAAACAATGTGGTTCATATTTCTAGTCCAGCACATAACATCATTGTCTCAGAAGATAAGAGAGTATGTAGCTAACTGCACCCTTTATTCAGTGATCAACTGAACTGAATTTCTCTTTGTGACCAAAGGTGCTGTTGAGATACACAGGTTGCTCTTGCTTCATCATGAGGACCTGGCACTTGAGTATTCTCCAGCAAAACTGTGGCTGTGGAACTCACCTATGATTTCAGTCCCACAGAGGTTGATTTCTTGACTTACAAGTTATTTGTCTGGCCTTCTGCCTTCTATCTTTTAAGAATGTGTTGGGAAAGATTTTGGGAGATAATTCTTATAGCTTCTTTTCACTTGTTAAACAAAATACAATCTTTTACTTTTCCTTTTTTAAATTTTGTCCTGGTACCTGCTTCTCCGTAATTAAATATAGAAGACACTAGTTGTTATTCTGTACTATTATTTAATATTTTGTTGGGTCAAGAGTCTTCTTTTCTTTCTGATGTATTTTGAAGATATCTCTGTTGTGAAGTAGTAAGAACATTAAACTGTGCATATTTTTCATACTAAATATATATGAACTTTTTGCAGGATAGAAAGTATATTATGTGTTTTATAATCTAATAATTACTGTTGTAAACTTTAGTCACTGGAGCTAATCAGTAAGTGGTTTGTTGTTACAGCTGGTTGATAAGTTATAATTCATGTCATTAAAATCTTCCTCCTATTTCTTATTTCTCTGACTGACCTGACTTTCCCATGATGTGAATAAGGAAAACAGGGTGGTGCTACAATGCAAGCTAGTTATTTGTTTTTGTATATAAAAATGTCTAGGGAGAAAGAGGTCAGGAAGAGAATCACTACAGTTCTTAAAATGACCTGATGTTACTGCACAATGTCCAGTAATTAGTTTTCTATCATTAATAGTTTTTGCACATGTGTAAGTAGGAGTGCCTGTCTTGAAGCCTGTTTTTGTTTTCTCAAAATATTCAACTTGTTAATCATTAGGACTTAACTAAGATTAATAATAAAAATTACTGGCAGAAATATATAATTTTATTGTTAAAATTATAGATTTATCATTAACAATATTCTGATGGGATATCAACTTTTTTCTTTTATTTCTTGAAAACTGACACTTCTTGAAGGATGGAAAAGCTTTTGAGAAACTTATCTTCTTCTTAAATTTCAGATTTAAATTTCAGAACAGCAGGTTTTAAAAGTTTTGAAGTATGAATTCTGAATTTTTTGCAGAAAATAAGATGTTTCTTAATTTACTCAAAGTAGTAGCTTTCTTTTGTATTATGTATCAGAATAGTTTTATGGTAGAAATGTGAAGATTGGCTGCACGTGATGAGAAAAACAAAGAAGAGCGGGAAAGGAAAAAAGCAGGATAACTTTTAAATGAGACAAGCTTAAATATTCAGACACATCAAAATATTATTGGAAACAGACTTCTGGACCAATTTCCTTTTGCAACCACACATATGCTTTTCCATCATCCTCATATTTTAGGAGTGTGGGTGGAAAATAAAACGTATTAGTCTTAAATGCAAAGAATAGGCCCATATCTTTGTCACATTTTCTACACTCACCTACATCCTCCACAGTGAGGGGTTTTTTTGGTGGGTTTTATTTTTTGTTTGTTTGTTTTTTGGAGAGGGGGGTCGCTTGTTGGGAGGGGGGTGAGGTTTTTTGTTGTTTGCCTGTTTGTTTGGGTTTTTTATGTTCTTGGTTTTTTGGTTGTTTGGGGTTTTTTTTGTAAAAACAGTGTGGCAGTTAGGTACACTTTGAAAACTTGGGGAAGATTATTTTGTATTAAGTGTCTCCTTAAAAATATATCACTTACATAAAGTTTTGCGTATATTTACTATGGGAAATCATGCAAGTCTGTTCTGTGGGTTTGTTATTTATGGAAAAAATCCTACTTACTATTGCTTTTAATAAGTGAAGCAGTTCTCCTACTGTCTTTAGGTCAAATTCAGAATTAAACCCTAAAAATACTGGAACCAACGAAAGTGGTTTTATAAGGAGGCATATTTTGGCATCTGTTATTTTTTAAATTCAAGTTAGCTGTGATATTTAGTCAAATACTTTACTTGGGAATGTTTTGTTTTTCAGGATGGGAAGAAGAAGTTTGACAAGGAAAGTGAGAAATATTATTCCATCTTAGAGAAGCACTTAAATTTGTCAGCCAAGAAGAAAGAATCTCATTTGCAAGATGTAAGAACTGAACACACTTACCTAATTTCACATTTGCATAGAAATCATGATAACAAACTAGCTCTCTTCAAGACATGCTGTATTTTATTAATGTAAAATTGTGATGTTTTCTGGTAGTTATGCTTGTTGTGACTATAAATTCTTAACTGGGATGAATAAGACCCAAATAGGAGTTAAATATTTGAACAAAGCAATATTCTTTGTTTGCAACTTTATATATTTCAAGTACAGCTAATGTTTATTGGTTGCAACAATGGAATTATATTAGTACAATAAAAATGTGAGTTTTATATGTAGAATATTAGAAAGCCAATTAGTTAATTGCTTTTAGGTTTGCTATTTAATATATTAACTGATGAAATTGCACTTCTCTTTCACATAAATTCTAATCCAGGAGACTGAACTGTGATCACTTCAGTGATGCTTCTTTTTGCTTCTTCTTCCTCTTTTTCATCTTTTTCTGAGATTGCAGCACCTGAAATTGCCCTGAAATGGTATCTATAACTTCAGCTTTGAAGAGTCTGTACTGCTAATTATTTTCTGTTAAAAAAATACAACATTAAGACTTCTAGTTTAACAGGAGTATCCCAGGGGTTTTCAGTATGCTGGTAGAAATTAATATGACTTGTCTTTGAAGCAAATTACAATAAACCAAACAATATGATATCAATGACACTTTGGGAATTGTGCCAAAAGTAGTTTAAAATGATTTTGATGGGATTACTGTTGTCATGGTGGCTCTTAAATTATGGAGGTTGATTTGCAGATGGAATTTACACCAAAGGTGTGACCATCACTCAGTCACATTGTAGGATTTTTTTTTCATGTTTACCAATAGTAAACATTGAAATAAATATTTGAATATTATAATTTAAATAAAATAAATCTTAGAAATTAATAACTTCTAATAATGTCTATATGCTGGAATTGCTGTTGCTGTCTATATAATAATCAGTCTAGATAAGACCTTAGTTATGTAGGAGTGGTTAACTGTTCCACTTGTATGTCAGAGCTTTCACTTTTCCCAAATATCTTACGTATTGATGAAAACGCACTTCTGTTAGAGGCTAAGCCCCAGCTTAAAAAAAAAAGAAATTCTTACCAAATTTTGGAAAAGCAAACTTAAACACTAATTTGCTCTAGAATACAAGCAAAATAAAAGAAATAAAATATTTTACTCTTGAGGCATGAGAATAATTACAGTCTAAAAGCAGCAGCTGAAGTGCAAAGTAACAACTGTGAATCTAATAAACTATGGTAGAATAACAATGGATTTGGCTCACATCTATAAACTAATGGAAAACCAGAATAATTTTTTCCAGTGTGTCCTTAAGTGACATATCTGGATTTAAAATTTTGTAACTGAGGCTGAGGTTTTCTGATTTCTAGATCCCTCCCCTGTAAAGGATAAAAGGCATAACTTGGCATTTCTCTCTTCCCTGGTTTTCTATAGCTGTAGATGTGCTGAATCAGCAACATAGACCCACCATAAGTAGAAGGCTCAATGTCAAATCAGTACCAAAATTGTTAACCTGAGAGACTTCTGGCCTGTGTCTGTATTGTAAGTAAAAGGAGGCAAAGCTGCATTCCTGACTGAAATCCAAGATAGCTGTTGACTTGCATCCCGAGTGGTTTGGGTGAGCCCCATTTATGGCCCACATGTCCAGGATGGAGTGTTTTGGAGCAGCCCACAGCACAGCAGGGCACGAGCAAAGAGCCAAGCGGTGCTGGCAGCTGGGGCTTTGGTACCCCGGGCAGGAGATGGGAAGTCCATGCCTCAAGCCAGCATCATGCATTCAGGGAGGTGGAAATAGCATTTGTTGACTGCTACATGGGAAAAATATGGTTCCCTTGAATGTATGAGGTTTCTTGATACCTCATCACATTATGTACGTTAAAGAGTACTGGAATGAGCAAAGATCTTATACTCTGTTGGGTTATTTTACATATCCTACTTGAGTGCCATTGAGACCACCTTAATTAGGCATCTGAAGTTTGATGGTTGAAACATATTCTGTAGAGAGCAGTTTGCATATATTCACCTAACTGAAATATGGTGGATGTTTTAAGAGCCTGGAAGACTGCTGGTGCAGTTTACACAGGTGACTGGCTTTTTTCCTTTAGCATCAAAAAGAAACTTCATAGTAGCATCTTTTCACTGCCTACAGGAGCCGACAGTGGAGAATTGAGTGATATGAGAAATCTAATAAACTTCTGATTTCGTTTCTCTGAAATCTGTTCCAGAATCAGTCTCTAAGCTTATGTGAAGTTCTGGTGTATATATTGAGGTGATAGCCTACATCAATGAAAATATTACTCACTATAACTATATATCATACAGGTAGAGACTCAAAATCATATCTATCAGATCTCTTTATTTTTTACATGCAGTTTGAAGTCATAGAAGAACATGGAAATACGTTCAGCTTTTGAAACTTTAAGATCACTTATGAAGTGATTCTTACAAATCTGAATCCTTTGGTGTCAACACAAATTCTTAAGCTTCTACAGAATATATATTTGGGGAATTCTGAGTTAGTCCCTATTCACTGGTAGTGATTATGGCCCTAAACCATATTTGAGATGGCACTTGGTTGTTGTATCATTACAACTGCAATTTGCTTAAATGCTGTTCAGACTAGGGATGGATTTAATTAGGTGTTTAAATACTTTTTCTGAGGCAAAGCCTAAAAGAGACAATTTCTAAAACTATGACTCATTATTTACGTACGATTAAATGAGAGAGCTGAGGTCTGTTTCAAGTGCTTATTGATGGCATTTTTGTGAGCAAGGCATTGCTGGATCATGTCCCACTGTGGTGGCAACTGCTTCTGCTCAGCTGTGCATCACTGTCTTTGAGATAGATTATTTTTGTGGAATAAAACTATTAACAGACTATCAGGGAAAGGAGTAGTGAAACACACTATACAAATGGCAAATGGCAGAGTTAATTTTGAGGTAGAGCAGTTCATTATTGGAATTTTGAGTGCTTGATTTCAGCTTCATAGTATTCATTTACTGATTTTTTTTTTTTTTTTTTAATGGACATGGGAAGGAAATGCTGGTACTGAATGATTTGAAGCATATCCTTGAGGCTTATGTGTTGAAGTAACGTTAGAACACTGGGCTAGGGAGGTGGATCAATATTGTTACGAGGCTGGACAGCCAAATCACAATAGTAGCTTGTCCTTGAGTAGAGAAGCAATCTTAATTATATATGGTGCTATTGATGGCCAGATCCTGCCTGAAGGATAACACTGACTTTTTGCTTTTGTTCTGTTAAAAGTACTAAATCTCTTTTATTATGTGTTTGCTGGTTTATAGTTTGCTGTCAAGGGAAGACAACATCAAGCTTTCCCAATTTCCCAGCATTTGTTACTTTTAATGCCAGAATTAAACTAGAGAATATACAGAAGTATCCTTCTGTATTTTAACTAACATGCATCAAAAATAGGTGATCTTATTCATGTTGTTAATGTGTGGTAATATTTTGACCAAAGAGCAAAATCTAACTTGTACAGCCCAAAAGGGATTTGCTTGAGAAAATGATTTGTTACGAAGAAGGATAAATTGAAATGGAATCTGCATGTCTTCTTTAAACATTATCTACGTGCTACACTGCTTGTCTGTTAGTTCCCTCTCCTGTGGCTTGTTTAAATTGAGAATAAAAGCCTATTACTCTTTATCAGCTGATAAGAGTTAATTCTTTAGCTATTTAGGCAGAAGACACTGTACTGATAGTGGATCTCTATGTAGGGTGGTATTAGTCAGGCATTTCTGACAAGTATTGCCTTGTAGTTCTGTCACTTGAAAATTAAAACTTGAAATATATTTGATTTATGAGGTTAGGGACTTAAATATGTTTACATTCCAAGAACATATGACTCATACTGTAAAATAATAAGTTGCAAGATGTCATTGCTAAAGACAGCCTATTTAAGAAAGAAAATGTGGTTTTGGGAAGGTATTTGAACCTGAGGAATAGATACCATTTCAGTGCATATGATACTTAAATATTTCAATATAAATAATTATCTTTTTGTCCATCCTTGATTCCTACACTGCTCATTTCTATTTCCTTTTCTAAACTTACATATGCCAAGTACCTGCTGCCACCTTTCTTTCCCTCCAGGCTCTCCTAAAAACTAAAATGTTAAAGAGCAAAAAGAAAGAAGAAACCAAAAAAGAGCGAGTAAAAGGCATAGGCTGAAATGTGTAATGTTAGCTTCTTAAACTTACATTTAGTTTATTTAAGTAGATATTCTAATTTTCAGACAGAAAAGTGAACTCTACGAAACTTTGAAATTAATTTTGTAGAAGATCTGTTGGTTAGTGATATAACCTGTTTTTAAAGCAACAACGAGACTAAACTAACGTTGTCTCTATTTAATTTTGTCTTTTAGGCAGATACACAGATTGACAGAGAACATCAGAACTTTTATGAAGCATCATTAGAATATGTTTTTAAAATCCAAGAAGTACAAGAGAAAAAGAAATTTGAATTTGTGGAACCTGTAAGTTTTGTGTTTTATTTTCTTTAGAAGGCATGCATTTAAAGCTGAAAATTGAATTCAAAATATCAATTTTTTGCTCCCTTTTAAAGTTTTGAATGCAGGTTCTTTGTATATAGACAGACATTAAGATCTTGGCTTGGGCACTTTCCATGTTTATTGAAGGATTATGTAAGAGTTTAGTATCTACTGTGAAGTGAAATGTCTGATGACTTGAAGTGTGTGTAACATTTTAATGGGACATCATGTAATGTTGTGTCTGTGCAACACATAATCGATGTTTCCTAATACCATGAATTAATGGATAAATTTTGAGCCAGTTTTTAAATTTAAGCATTTTGAGTAGGCAGTATACACAGAAATTGTTCTGAGTTGCACATGAAGTAAAATGAAAAATCAGTTTTTCTGTAGGATAGGTAAGTTTATTTTTTTTTGTTGGTGGGGTCATCTGCATTTAGTTTACTTTGCACATAAAGGAAAGCATGTGTTGGCATGCCACTAAAGAGTAAGATAAAGTTGTGCTTCAATGTCCATATTTAAGTCTGGGATTTCCTTCTGGATGGCGTTTCCATCCCCCACCCTTAACTCTCTTCTGTGTCAGTCAGTACCAAAAGCAGCTTCAGTGTGATATGCTGGCCTATTTCCATGCCCTAGCAGCTGTATCACCACTGTTCATGTCATGCAGACAGGCCCAGCTTGCCAGTTGCCTGATGTAGTTAGTACCTGTAGCCCTTGACAGAGAGCTTCCAGTGCCATGTGTCCCTTCCCATTAAGCACACTGAGCACAGCAGAGCAATGGTTGTCAGAGGGGAACATGACAAGTGTAACTTTCTCTCCACACCATCTCCCAGCTTCCTTGTAACTACTGAAGCAGCACTCTTGACTGTGAAATCGGTTGAATTACATCTCTAACACCCCATGTCACCAAGAAGAGCTTCCCAGTTGCCTTCTTTCCATAAGATGAGAGTGTATTGTATTGTGAATGTTTGACATTGATGCAAACTAATGAACCTGGATTGAGCAAGCAGTACTTACAGAAATCCTATCTTTATGGCATACAGCTGCCAAATCTTAGAGACTAAAACTTTGCTCGGATTCCTAAATAAGAACATTTTTCTACCTGTCACAGATTAATCCAGAGTGTGTCTCTCTGTCTCCTTCTGCAAAACTCTCACATCCTGGAAAAATCTGGCAATCTTGACCTAGCTCTGACCCTAGTATAGAAGTCTTTATGCTTCTTTAATGTAATAGAAACTTTCTGTATTGAAAAGACCTTGTACATTGGAAAATATTGTTCAATTGCACATGGTTAAAATCGGTAAAATTTACTTTTAAATGTCTCCATTTCCATACTGTCTCAGATCAGTAGGCCTTCCAACCCAGTATGACATGCTTCATGTTCCCAGGGAAAGTGCAGGAAATACTCTGGTGACTGGGTAATGATAAGCCTTGCAGTTCATTACTTCTGACTTTGGGTGTGAATTTATTTATAATCAATCTGGATATAGATGGAACTTAAATTATAAGATCAGTTAGAAAATTTTGACTCTTCAAAACTCTTAATTTTTGTTTGTAGTCTGTTGCATACAACGTGCAACAGAGCATTTGCTAAGACCCATAAGGCAAAATATGCCTTGTGTGAAAAAGTAAATTAAAATACAAATTAGCAATAGCATGAGATTTAAAATAAACCAAACTAAACACACCAAAGAAAACCCAAATGCTTCAAAATAGGCTTTCTAAAATTCCTGTTTATGTAAGTGATGTTGGAAGTATGTGCATGTGTTCCTAGATGAAAGGTCTAGATAAGGACAAAGCCTAACACTTTAAAATCCGGTATCAAAAGCATTGTCATATTATTAATTTTCCTCTGTGTGCTCCATGAAGGTGCATATGGCAGAAGATGCCTGGTGGTGTATCTATATGGACACTCCTCCTCTAGAGCTCTGATGGTTGTGGGTCATTCTAGTGTATGTGCTGCCTGTGCCTCGGATTTATCAGCACAGTGTCACGTCTTCAAATAATTCTCAGTCTGACATCTTGCTAACAGACTCGCTGAAGGAAAGTTTAACAAAATAAATCTGTTCGTGCAATGAAGGAGGAAACTGATGCCCATGCAAAAGAAGGATCAGTTTGTGACATGGGAATAGAACTTGAAAAGCAAATGATCTGTTGGACATCCTTTCAAGACTTTCAGTTTTTCTATGCCAAAGGATAAAGACAATCTGAGAACCAGAGTGGGAGAAGTAACCCAGCAAATATTGCCTTGTGGGTTACAGCTAGGACAGTGGAAGTCAGTAACAGCTGAGTGTGTTCTCTCCTGGAGGAGACTCAGGAAAGATTTTAAGGTACAGATGCTAGTGACTCATACAGTGAATAGAATATTATAATATTTAGAGTAGAGTTTTGCAGCTGCTTCTCAGGCCCTGGGTTTCTCTTTGTTTACTGCATATTGATCAAAGAGATTTCTAAAGTGTACTAGTGTGAGTAACTGACATACTCCTATTTGCAATCCTCCCAGATCTTGATTTTTTTCCAAGAAAAAGCCTCAGGTTTTCGTACAGGTAATGAATTTAAACTTTTTCTGAAGGACAAATTAGTGTTCAGATTTACAGCTGGATAAACAATAAAGCGAAATAAGTGACAATAATCTGTCTTGCCAGCTTTTCTCTTGTGATTCTAAAGAAGCTAGTCCAAGCCAACAGTGCTTTCTGAGAGTGTTATGCTTGTTAAAACAATGGAAACACCTTCCTAAAGTTCTGCTTTGACCTTTGGTGATGCCAGGACTTGCTTGTCCTGTAAAAATCAGGGCACAAAGTTCATAAGCAGTAAACTATCTGAAATGTGAGGAGTGGTCAGTTAAATGTTTATTTAAAGAGAAGAAAAAATGAACAGCCAGTGGAAAAATACTGCTTCTAATTGCATGTGACTTCACAGTGGACATTAAATTTGAATTTCCCTTTCTTGCATTTTCTACATTATTAACTATGTTCACTTTAATCTGAAGAATAAGTGCTATCTTCTTATAAATAAAATGAAAACAAGGAGACAGGGACTTCTGGCTGATGTGCTGCAGGCCAAAGGTTAAATTCCTCCCCTATCCGAAACCTAAGTACAGTCTTCTTCCTGTGAGAATGAAACGACCAGGCAGTCTTGAGGTCAGCAGCTCTACATAAAAATAAATAAAGTCTCAAGAAGTAGTTGGATTTTGTTTCGGGTTCTGTGTGGAAATCGTAATGGCTCTGGTGTGCTGAGTAGCTCTGTATTATGGAGATCAGACCCCAGTCTTCACTGATGTGACTAATTAGATACTCAGAATGAGGTAACTATAAGACACTTATTAAAATGAAAAATCGTTGAGATGAAAGCATCAGGCATTGTTTGTGATGTTTGATGAGATAAACTACCTCTTTATATGTGAATACCACCTCAAATTACATTCTGAAAATTTTCTTTGAAAGGAAAAGAGTCTGATTTTTCTATTCTTGTTTTTAATTTTTTTCTTCTATTTAATATTAATTTATTTAAAATTTTGAGCCTGCTTTTAGCAGCAGTGCTGCTTCTAATGCCAGCAAAAAGAAAACCACACTATAAGCATAAGTCTAGGGTGAAAGACCTTGGCTTTTAAATCTCTTCCATACAATGCTATGACTGTGCCTGTTCTAATGGAAGTGATTCTGGACATGCCTTAGTAGCACAGGCCCATTGGGCACAGGGCATTTTCTGATTCCTGTTTTTCCGCTGCTAGTGACATGTACATTGAAGTGAATACCATCCTCAGTGTCATTTATCAGCATAGAGCTTAAATATGCTGAACTAGGACTTGCATAATACTTTTTTCTATTCCTATTTTTCTGAGTGCTTAGAGGGTTTTTAACCAGGAAATCCTCAAGGCCAGATCCTCTGCAATGCACAACTGCCAGAACACCTGAGAAGTACTTTAACTGAAATTAATTCAGATTTTTCTCAGGTGTTTTTTGGGTTTTTGGGTTGGTTTTTTTTGCCACTGTTATATTTTTGCTTTCTGATAAATTCAGCTTTGCTGCCATCTTGTGTTATATATTTTCCTTGGTATTTTTCAGTGTACTCTCTAAAAGTATTTTGTATGATACAAAGTGTTTTTCTTCAAGTATTGAAGCTGAAATTTATACAGTTTATCCTCTCAAAATGCTCTTTAAACTGATTTTTAAAAGTCAGGCATAAGCTGATATACTGAAACTTTGTCCCACTAGTTCTTTATTTTAATTTTGGTATGCATTATTGTGGTGATCTGGCTGCAGTTTTGCTAATTACTAGTGCTAGTGTTACTGCACTATCTCTTCAGCTGAAAAGGGTGGGTTTAGCAGCAGGCTCCTGCTTGCAGATTATGTTAATCCACACATTCTTTTGACTGGACCAAGTCAAAGTTAGCCCAGGAGTAGTTGTGCTGCAGCATCTGAAGGAGCTGTAGTTGGGGACACTGATGACTGACTGAATCTAGAGTGTGAGAATGGGTTTCACATAACTGGAGCCAAAGCAGAGCTTTAGTTATAATTTGCATATTTTGTATTTTATTCATAAAAAGGAAGATTAATTTTCTTTCTTTTTCTTTGAGTAGTTATTTCCAGATTTACAGAATTAGAATTATAGTCCAGAATTACAGAAAATTATAGAACTCTTTCTATCTATTTGCAATATTGGAGGTTTTAAAGATAAACTTTGTATTTGGACCTTCCTCAGAAACACGTAAATAATCAGTTGAGTAATAATAATAATAATTTCAGGGTCCTTAGCTGAGGTATTAATTTCGGCTGTACAGATGGAGCATGTTAAGCTGAGATTGATTTTTACAAGATGTGGAGCCTTCCACTTGAGACTGCATTGCCTTCATTGTTTGATGGTGGAATATGGTTCAGGAATTCGCATCCACTGTAGAGGCCCCACAATAACTTGCTTTTATGTCCAAGGATCTTCTCAGTTCTTCAGGCTCTGTGACTGGCTTCCTGGGCAGCCCTGGCCTTGCACCATCTCTGCCTGAGGCCAGGGTTTCCTCAGGTCCTGCAATGCCAGTAAAAGCCAAGAGCAGAGTCCTTGTCCCTTGTGTTGGTGCCCTCACTGATGTTGTGCTCAGCTCCCGTGGCTTTAGCTGACTCGGGCATCCAGAGAGCAGGCAGCTAAACGGGCTCTCTGTAGTCTTGGAGAGAGCAGTGGGAGAGGGGAGGATGAACAGTTTAGCTACAGCTCTTCAAGTAGGGCTGAGAGTAAATTTAAAGAAAATATAAGCGCAGTAAAAACTACATCTTTATGCTATTCCACTTACAGTAATCTATGGTGCTGGTAACACAAAGCAAGTGCATTAAATATGAACGATGGCATTTTTGTTGCCTGAGTCTAGACTACTTCAGTAGTCAATGAAGAGAGATAAATGTTTCCATTGGATCATTCATCCCATCCTGAGAGAGAAGTCTGTAAAACGGAAAAAAATTATGCTCTGGAATACCTGTGGTTCTTTACTGAGTCAGAAGACAGCCTGGACAGCCAGTTACTTAGCCCAGATGATAATGGTGTAAATATAATAAGCAAATCATTTTTATTGTTAAAACTTCTGTTATTGTAAATCAATACTAATTTCTCTCTTTTTTTTCCCCTGTTTTCTTCTCTTTTTTTGGTAAGCTAAATAATATTTACAAAGAAATCAGTCCATGATAAGAAATTAAATACTTGTTATTTAACAGCAGGTGGGGTGACTTACAGCAATGTCAAAACACTTAAAATTTAAAGCAGAATAAGGTAGAAGGCTTTTAAGAGATGTCAGGAATGCTTTAATTCAAGACCTAAAATCTAGTTACACCTTTTACTACTTGAGCATTGTTGTAAAGCAAACTTTAAAAGGACTTTTCAACTGGATATATGCAGACTACAGTGGTTCAGTTGGAGTCAATCACAGACATACCAGATAAAGTTTGCATTTTGTTCAGAGCAGGAAGAAATAGTCTGGGTTTCTTGTGTTGTACTAACCTATCCAAAACATACTTTCTAGAGTCTCATTTGTGGAAAATAGGTCATAGCCCAAGTAATTACTATGAAGAAAGTGAAAAAATACTGAAGAAAAAACACTTGAATTCTGAAATTTTAAACTTGGAAAATGCACACCAGCAAAGACTCCAGCTGAAATACTGGATAAAATGACTACGACAATGAATTAAATTATTATGGAAATTACAACTTCATGACACAAAAGCACGTATAACATTTCTCTTTCTTAAGGTCTCATCATGGATTCCTTCTCAGCAAAACTTTGCTTTTGAGTGTAAAAGCACAGTGTTCCAGGATTAAAAAAAGTATAATGCTTCTCAATTTTACCTTTTCAGCTCTTGGCCTTTCTTCAAGGATTATTTACATTTTACCATGAAGGATATGAACTGGCTCAGGAGTTTGCACCATACAAGCAGCAACTGCAGTTCAATTTGCAGAATGTAAGGATGATTTGTATTTACATAATTTAACTTTCTAATTTGCTAATTTCAATTCAGGATATTAAAGTAGACTTGTAGCACTTTATTGAAATTCTAAATCTTGCAATGTTTTAGTAAGCTGAAATCAAATTCATATACAAATAGATAAAATTATTTTTATAAAGTTAATGTAATTAAGATTCCTGACAACAAATAACTTTGGATAATAAATTTGTGATTTCCAGATCAAAACTTTGGGAGTGAGAACAAAAAAAAAAAAGTACAGCAGCCAAGTGTTTCTTAGAAAACACAGTGGTCCAGATAGATTTAAACTTGTATAAAATCTTTCTTGAGAATGAGACCAGTCTTCTGGACTAAGTGGAGGTACCAAAAATGCTCCAGGTGGTGCAGAATGATACAGTTTGTCGTGCTGTCTGCTGACTTCCCACTGGATATAAAGCATACTTGGGAAGCCATTCTCTGGCTGTTCTCTATACTGTTGAAGAATAGGTGAGACCTTCCTCCATGGTGAGAAGCTCTCATGAGCATTAAGGTTCACCAAAAAAAAAAATCTCTTTTTGTGTAGAGAGTTACACTCAACTGAGCAGATGTAGATTGGTCTGGATTTGGTAGTCAGAGCCATACAAGTTCCTATTTTGGGCACAAACCGCCCAAAAAATTTCATAGCTATCAGAGGTAACTAAAATGCATTTAATCAATATACTTTCCACTCATCATAAATGCTTTATACAGGTATATATTTGTTTCACTGTGTAATTTAGATATTACATTTCCAAGGACATACAAATAAGTAGGTACAAAAAAACCTGTACATACTTTGCTTTTAAGCATAGCTTACACACTCTGCTTTTAAGGCAAAAATTGAACTTCAAAATGTGAGTATTGGAGAAGCCCCACATATTTCCTGACAAGTAACATCAAAGTCCAGAACAAAATTTTTACAAAAGTCCATATCATTCTTTCAAGAAAAGAGACACATCTGTTACATCCATTGTAACACCATCTTCCATTTTACATCTCTTGTTCATATATATAGATCCCATTTTAAATGCTGCTTGAGGAAATAAAGCTTACTAGATGATTAACCTTTTCCTTTTGGATCAAAATGCAAATGGTGTGTTTGTAGAGCATCCCAACCGTTTGTCCTTTCAAATTTTGTGTTTTCTACGTTGTTTGCTACTAAGACACTTTCAGATAAAGACACAAGGGGTCAGTGTTGTTGCACAGCAGTTTCACTGAAAGACTGAAAAATCTGCTTCAGTCCAGAGATTTACTTATTTTAATATGGCAAGTTCTAAGAGGAGTATGAGATCATAGCACAGACCAAAACGGGCATTGTGAGTAATCATATGTTTCTTCTATGCATGTCTCTACAGAAGCAAAATTATTAAAGCATTTTTTCAATATCAATTTTAATTAAGAAATAGTTAAATTTAATGTTTTCTAAATATTATTTCAGCACAACTTGAAGTCATAAATGGATTACAGAGATAAAGAGAGTTGTGAAGTTAGGAAGAAGGATCAATGTATTATTACTCTTTTTTGATTATCTATCAGAAAACCTATGCATAAAGATAGAGTGGGGATCAGTACATCACTCACCTGTGTTCCACAGCAGTATAAATTCTGGCTCCAGATCTAGATCCACAGCTTCACACAGCCAGATGAGTTCTCTACATACTTGTCATTCAGAGCATCACCCAAAATCAGATTGAAGTGAAATAATTTATATAGGTAAAGACAAACTGCGAACAGGGAGAAGTGCATTCAGCCCATCTGTAACTATCAAAAGTACTCCTCTCCCTTGCATTGTGTGTTCAAGTCTTGAAGGATCTGAACTGCTGTTTATGTTCTTAAAAATGTCCTATAGGTCAGAGCAGGAGCAGTAACAGCTGTTGAAGAGTAGTGGCAGACCAACAGCTCTTAACAGGTCACCATGTTCTAACATAACTTGTTTTCACTTTAACTATCTCAGCTGGCCTGTGACATACTTTGTGTGTACATTTGGCTTTGATTTCTGTGATTTGATTCAAAGACCTAGCTGTTTATAAGTAGCAATTAAAAACTAAATAGATGGAGACAAGCTCTTAAAGTGGGGACGTTCCTTCAATGGCATGTCCTTCTTAAAGGTCTCGAAATGATCTCTCTTAAATTTGGTCTGAACTGATACTTCTTCTGAAATATGAAATTTGAAAAGTTCAGCTTTGAATTTTACCTCCCTCTCTAATAATAGTGTTTGTCTTCAAGACCAAGATTAAGAATGTTTACTCTTATACTATTGTGCAACTAACTACACAAATGGCCCATGAAAAAGGGGAAGTATTCTCTGGTGTATAAAATCCTGAGAGTATCTTTCTGACTAGTGAGGATTCGAGTCTGTAGATGATTCTGTAGAAATATTACCAAAATCTTTATTCTGTTCTTTGACCTATAGGAACAGACTGTTCAATATCTGATATTTAATCAATCAAAGCTCTGGCATCTCACAGTAATTCACTTCTGCTATCCCATGCTAGGTCCGTGGAGGGAAACCCTAACCTCAATGAATTCACTAAGAAAAAGTAACCATTTATATACATACAGATATAGGAAAATATGGAAAACCCACCTTAGTACCATAATTGTTTGCTTTGTTACATGTCTGGTTACACACATGATATTTAGGACAGACATGCTTCTTCCATGATTTTGGCATAGTTCTGCCATTTGTGAGCTCTACCTCTCATTTTTTTATACTGAACTGTGGTGTTTGCCAAGTCAAAACTTGTTCATGACAGTGCCATTAATCTGACTATTCTGAGCAGCAGCACCTGTGGTATCACTGCAGATATGGATACACAGAAAATTTGTCTTTTCCATGTGTGTACAAACTGCAGCTGTCCTGACTCATTAGCCTGGCTTTAACCCAAACTAGTGTTTTCTGCACTGTACTTAAAGTGCTTCAGGGGGTCTTGCTACTTTAGGTTTAGGGCTAAGTTTCCAGCAGTTTCTAGTTTAGCCAGGTGTCTGTTTGAGAATCCCAGAGTGTACAGAGAGAAAGCCTGTATCTGTCTGCAAAATACTATCTAAACATACCTAAAGATATGAAATGACCTCCTATCTGAGGTTAGTGGCCTGCAGAAAGAGGAATGGTGCTATTTTCGGCTATGTTTTCCTTACATTTACATGCCTAAGTTGAATTCTTCATTACTATGTTATTCCTAGGCTTCTAGCAATGAAGAGTATTATTCTTTATTGCATTTTTTTTCCCTTTTCCCCCCTTTTATGTCTCTGGCCAATGCTTTTGTTAGACTCCAATACAGTCTCCTTGGCATTATTTGTAATTAGTTGTTCATTGTTATTTTGGTACTTGCATGAGATAACATGGGGTTTTGTTTGTTTCCTTTTCTGGGTATTAGACTCGGAATAACTTTGAAAGCACTAGGCAGGAAGTGGAGAGACTCATGCAAAGAATGAAATCAGCCAACCAAGATTACAGACCACCAAGTCAATGGACAATGGAAGGCTATCTCTATGTGCAGGAGAAACGTAAGTACAAAAAGGAAGTTGTATAGCAGTTGTATAGTAGTTTGCTGTAGTTTGCCCCAGTGGCTGACTGGTAGCAAGCTCTGCTCTGGCTGGCTGCCCTGCACCTTGCTGCAAACTCCCAGCATTCTCCTTTGGCTCCCTTCTGTGTCCTGTACTTTCCCTGCCTGAACAGGGCCTTTAGTTCAGCCATCAGGAGCACCTTGTACCAGAGACCTCCAGTGACCCAGCCATCTTAAATGATCATGTGCTTAATGGAAATCAAAGGTGTAAGAAAAGGTCATCTAAGTACCATCTTACCATAGTTAACCACAGCCAGTTTTATCCTCAGTAGCACTGCAACTTTTAAGAACACAGTCTATTTTTTAATTGATTAATAATTATAAAAGAAATCTGTGTTAAGTGGAAATTACACTGAGCTGTGCTAATGGGGAAGGGAGAAAAGGAGTAAAGCACCAGGCACATGCTGTGCTTCATTAAACAGTGAGAGGCCAGCTTGACATCTTCGTACTGAAAAGAAATTTTTATTATGGAGTAACAGGATCTGTGATCACTGTGTAGTGGGAAAGGTGCTAGTTGTATAATTAATTCCTTGTCATGCAAGTTTTCTTGCCTACAACCCTTATCCTATAGGTTCTTGTCTAATTGTGAGCAACTGGGTTAAATGTTTGCTATTCTTGAGAGTAAATTCTGTATATATTTATTGCTGGTAGGCATGGTGGTAAATACAGGGTTTTTTTAAAAATGGCACTAGGCCATAAATTATTTTCTTTCAGATGGATGGCCAAGAGTAATAAGCTTAAAGTTGCAACACAGGTGTCTGGCTACAATTTTCTAATGAATGAAGGTGACTTCTTAACTCATGTAAAACTGCTTTGAGAGTGCTCTTCCGTCTTATAATGTGCTAAAAGAGATAATTAATTGCCATCAGAGGAAGAAATGATCCTGAATAATTACAATTTTGTTATGCTAAGTGAAAACAACTTATATAGGAGCAGAACAGCTAACTTTGGAGGGTACATAACCATTTGAATTTTCAATTAATGACTTTACTTTCTTCCAGAACACAGGCAACAGGAGAGTTTTCTCAAAGTCAGCATAACAGACTGTATAAATTTCCACAGCTATATTTCTGGATTGACAGAACATCCAACTTACATGACCAATTCAGTCTCTCATATAACCACCGCCTTTGTGGGTACATCAAGAAATCAAAACCTTTGTATCTATAGTAAACCTACTAGGGTTTTTTTTTCCATTTTTTAAATTCAATACTTCACATTTAAAAAAACTCAAACAGAAAGCCATTAAAATACTTTTTTAAAAAAAGACAGAGTTCTTTCTTTTTGTCTTGGTTCTAGACAGGACAGGGTTAATTTTTGCATTAGACAGGAGTTGGGCATGACTAGATCCTTACTCAATACCACCTCATCATTTTCTGGGGATAGGGGAAGGGATCCTTTCTGGGTCTCAAATGTGGCAGAGGGAGAGCTCAGTTAATGTCAGGTGTCTCCATGTGGTGAGCACTCACATGTGAATCATTTGCCTCTTGTACAGGCTGTTATTAATATTGTTGCTGCAACTGTTCATTTTCTTATTTCATTGCTGTCTCCAGTATAATTGTTCTGACCTCAACCCTTGATCTTTATGCCTCTAATTCTTGTCTCCAGCCCACCACAGGGGAGGGGAAGGATGGAAGAGGGAATGAGGAATGCATGACCATTCCTTAACTATAATATATTTTAAAAAGAATTAATGTTTAATTTTTCTATTCTAATTCCAACTATAATAGTGGTAAAATGACAATTACTTTTGATGCTATCTCTCTATTCTAGGACCCCTTGGATTTACATGGGTAAAACATTACTGCACTTATGACAAAGGAACAAAAACTTTCACAATGAGTATAGCTGAAACAAAATCTGGTGGAAAAGTGGTGAGTTACACGTCCATGAACACATTCATGAGCTGTATATTCCATCTTTTTTATAAAGCATTTAAGAACTGCTGAAAGGGAAAAATGCAAACAGATGAGGCTGTTTTCGTAGATGAAGCCATGCATGTATCATATAGCATGGATAAATGCTTAAGTAATATTTTTTTTAAAACATATTTAAACCACGTATTAAATAACTTCTCTAATGTGATTGTTGTAAATGTGTATGAAATTTATCACATTTGCACAGAATCATAGAATGGATGGGGTTTGGAAGGGGGCTCTGGAGATGTCTAATAGTAACTCGATTCAGGGTCAACCAGAACAGGTTGGTGAGGTCTGTGTCCAGTCAGGTTTTAGGTATCTCCAAGGATAGAGCCCTCTGTGAGCAATCTGTTCAAGTGTTCGACTACCAAAAAAACTTTTTCTAAAGTTCAAATGGAATTACTTGTATTTATGTTTGTGCCCATTGCCTCTTGCCCTTCCCCACTGGGCTCCACTGAGAAGAATCTGACACAGTCTACTTACCTTCCCATGAGGTATTTGTAGATCAGTCACTGATGTGATCCCTCTTCTCCAGACCAAACAGTCCCAGATCTCTCAGCTTCTCCTCATATGACAGATCACAGGATCATCAATTTTGGAGGAGCCCTTCAAGGTCATCTAGTCCAACCATCAATGTAGCACCACCATAGTCACCTCTGAACCATATCCCCAAGTACCATATCCAGGCTCTCCTTGTATACATTCAGAGATGGTGACTCGACCTGGTTAACTTATTTCAATGCTGAGCCACTCTTCCAGTGAAAATTTCATTTTTAATATGTAATCTGAACCTCCCCTGTCACAACTTAAGGCTTCTCCCTCATTTTCTTTCACTTAAGACATGACAGAAGAGACTGACCCTCACCTCAATAAAGCCTCCTTTCAGGTAGTTGTACTTCAAGTCCTTAATCACCTTGGTCGCCTTTAGCTGGACTTGTTTTGGCACATTCACTGCCTCTCATGTACCAGGGAGCCCAGCACTGGGCACAGCATTCCAGGTGTCCCTCACCAGTGCTGAATGGAGGCTGAGGATCTCCTTCCTCCACTTGCAGGCAGTACCCTGCCTGATGCATCCCAGGAGGCTGGTGGCCTTCTTTGCAGCAACATCACATTGCTGGCTCATCTTGTTGCCCACCAGAACCTGAAATTCCTTTTCTGCCAAGCTGCTCTCTGTCCTATCACCTTCATCCTGTCCTGGTTCCTGGGCTTAGTGCTATTCATGCTGAGCAGTATTGACCCCATGGGCATACCAGTGGTGCTTGGCTGCAGCTGGGCTGCAGTTGTAAGCTCAGCAGTTCAGGCAGTGTTCAGTCCATCTCACCCATATTTCACCTGTACTTGTCTAGAGGATGTAGTGTTCAAAGTGTGGCAAAAGTTGAGATAAACAATATTCGTTGTTCTTCCATCATACACCGAGGCATCCAACACATTGTAGAGGGCTATCAGGTTGATCCTGTGTGATTTTTCCTTTATTAAATTTATGCTGACTGCTTCCAGTCACCTTTCTGCCCTTAATATATTTGGAAATGCTTTTCATGCTTATTAGCTTCATCACCTTCCCAGGGATAAAGGTGAAGCAGACTGGCCTATAGTTCCCCATAAGATGTGAGGCCTCAAGTTGCATCAGGGGAGGTAGGTATTAGAGAAAATTTTTACACTAAAAGGGTAGTCAAGCATTGGAACAGTCTGCCAGGAAAGTGGTTGAGTCACCAACCCTGGAAGTGTTTAAAAGGTGTGTAGATGCTTTTCCAACCTGAATGGTTCTATGAGTCTATATCTTTCTCCTTGCCCTTTTTGAAGATAGGAGTGACATTTGCTTCCTCACATTCCTCAGAATCTGCAGTTGTGTCAGCCTTGCCAACATTATAGGGAGGTCTCGTGATTGTGGTGGCCAGAACTGGGAGTTAGTCAGCTTTACTCTTCAGAAAACTTTTTATCTGTATGTGAGAGTTGGCAGAATTACATGATTTTCATCCTAGCATGCATGTAATCAAGTTATATACACAGGTGTTTGTAAGATTTTAATTTGGGGGATTTTCTGAAATATAATGATTAAGTAAAAAATATAAGACAAAGTTATTAAAGGTAGTCTTAATATACATTAAAATGTTGTATATATTCTAAGTAATTTTAATCGCTATGTTAAGACATGTTCTTTGGACTATTCATGCTGTTAAATTTAAGATGAAGCCAAGGTGTATAAGCATATTGCCTGTGCTAATTCCATTTTGTTGTTTTGTAGAATGGCCTTGTCACAAGCTCACCAGAAATGTTCAAGCTAAAATCTTGCATCAGGAGAAAGACAGATTCAATTGACAAACGTTTCTGTTTCGATATTGAAGTATTTGAGAGGTTTGTTTCCACTGTGCTAACAATTTGAAGATAATTGCAACGAATAGATAATAATTACTCCTGTAATAAGAACATACGTTTACCAATATATCTGTATGTAGGCAAACTAAGCTTTCAAGACTTAGTACTTCTTTGTTCAAACATGGTTTTCTAATTAAATTCACTACACAGCATATGTGTTCTCTTTAGTACATGATGTTTGCATGCAGATACAGCATGGATTCTTATGGAACTTGTGGCAAAACTGACTATCCCGTTTTAGAAACAAATCATAAATATCTTTATAAATATTTTATAAATACTTGTTAATAAGAATATTCTGTACAAATCTCTGTTACTTTCAGACATGTATGGTAGTATTTTTTTTTTCTTGAAAATTACGTCCACAATTTTTTTTCCACTTACTCCTGGATAATTATAATAGATACATGAGAATAGATTTCCTGTATTTAAAGCATAGGTACACTAGTACTTTCTAGAAGTATTTTGTTTCCAATCTTGGGAATAAAGAGAAATATTGAATTAATTTTTGCATTAAAGTATGATAAATAGACTGACTTCTGTAGTGGTTCTCCTAAGAAATGCTTTATGACTGTTAGCAAACTTTTAAAGAACGGATGTGTTTTATACTTAGCTCAAAACTATTCTGTTATATCAGAAGCTGTCAACTTTCTCTAACTTCTGTCTGTCTTATATATTCACATCACTATGCATGTGAATTCTGACTTTGGATACTGTTTGAGAAAAAAAAACAGTAACTTCAGTGAATGTGTGTGTGTTTTGACAGACCTGGGATCATCACACTACAAGCTTTTTCAGAATCCAACCGAAAACTTTGGCTTGAAGCTATGGATGGAAAAGAACCAGTAAGGATATTTTTTAATTGTCATTTTACAGTTTTCTGGATCACATATTACAGAAAGAAGCTAGTATACATTTCAGATATTCTGTTGCAATAGCAAAAAATAGAGTTATTTTCTTTTCTTTGTGAGACACTAATGCAAGCACATAGTGAAAATAAATTATTAGATCTACTTTTCTACTTTATAGTTAAGCCTACATTTATGTATATCATTATATTAGGATATTTAAAGTAATAATATTTTAAGTAATACAATAGTATATGGTTTAATAGGATTCACAGTCCAGGTAACATACGTGAAGTGGTTTTTATTACAATGGTAAAGCACAACTATCTTTTGGGTAGTTTCATGGAGTAAACAATTAGTACCATCTCAAAAGGTGTTGCAGAGAGCAGAAACACCTGTTGAAAGCTACTGAGAGACAGGCTTGTTTGAGTTTTCTTCCTACTATTTGTATGCTCTTAAAGTAGTCACTGAATGAGGGCAATGTCAGAACTGTATCTGATAGGAAAAGAATGGTCGATCAGTTTTATGAGCTCAATGCGTGTTTTTACTGCTTCTTGTTTGCCTGAACCAATACAGGAATTATAATCACAAGCTGTTTTGAAAATTCACCCATTTGGACTCAGTAAATCTGATTTCTAATGCATTAGTTGCATTATGATAGCACAGAGCTATTAACCCAGCTGTGTTCTGGAGCAGTAAATGTCAAGACATCGTGAAAGGCAAGGTGGGATTTCTCTAGCAGCAATCTAGTACATAGCATGTTGCAGCTACTCACAAACTTGTCAATAAAGGATTTAAGGCACATTGTCCTGTTGCATTGTTGTTGTTCAGTTATTGGGTGGTTTTTTTTGTTTTGTTTTTTCTTGCAGATCTACACACTGCCAGCCATTATTAGCAAGAAGGAAGAAAGTAAGCTCTTTATGTTGAGTTGCCATATCTTGCTGGATTTCTGTCATATTACAATTTCTTGATACATGTGTGATGGAAAGAGATTATTTTATATTTTATTTCTATTGCTGTGAAATAACTTTGTTGGCTATCTAAACATGCCCTGGCACAACTTGAGGCCATTTCCTCTTGTCCTATTGCTTGTTACTTAAGAGAAGAGATCAACCCCCACCAGGCCACCCCCTCCTTTCAGGCAGCTGTAGAGTGATGAGGTCTCCCCTGAGCCTCCTTTTCTCCAGACCAAACACCCCCAGCTCCCTCAGCTGCTCCTCACAGCACTTGTGCTCCAGACCCTTCCCCAGCTCCGTTCCCTTCTCTGGACACGCTCCAGCCCCTCCATGTCTTTCTTGCAGGGAGGGGCCCAGAACTGAACACAGGATTGGAGCTGTGGCCTCAGCAGTGCCCAGTACAGGGGGACGGTCACTGCCCTGCTCCTGCTGGCCACACCATTGCTGAGCCAGGCCAGGATGCCATTGGCCTTACTGGCCACCTGGGCACACCCTGGATCATGTTCAGCTGCTGTTTGCCAGCACCTCCAGGTCCTTTTCCACTGAGCAGTTTTCCAGCCACTGTGCCCATCCTGTAGCACTGCCTGGGATTGCTGTGACCCAGGTGCAGGACCCAGTCCTTAGCCTTGTTGAACCTCATACAATTGTCCTTGGTCTGTCATATCTGTTTAGTTTTAGGTGTATGTTAGTTGTATGTTTAGGTGTATATACACCTGTTAGACATACACTGAGTAAAAAAATTAGTGTATATAAAGGTACTATGAGATTTGTGTGCATAATTGTATTAACACTGTATTAACACATTTGTTATTATCATATTAACAAAATATGTAAAAATAATTTAAATAATATATCTCAGAGAAAGAGATTTGTAAAATTTGGACATACATCTTCATTGGAGGTATATTTGAGACTCCGAAATTCTGAAATTTAAAGCACTATCCTTTTACATGATGGTGTTTATTTTAATGGTGGCAAATATGCTGGTTTAAGATCTTTATTTAGTTAGATCAGTGGGTATTTAGGATGCAACATTAATGAGAAATACATTCACTTGAAGTAAGATGGCTAATTAAACTCAGTAACAAGGATTGTTCTCCTACATTACCATTTTATGAGTGATTATGTGCATATGCAAGGAACAAAAAATATTGTTGTATTAAAAACAATTAATATATTCTGGTCATAGTGTAGGTACTGGACTCTTAAAAGCATTTTGCTCAGCAAACTGTATCTTTAGCAAGGCTACTGACTGCTGAGAAAGACAAGTTTCTAATGGTTCAGAATGACTAAAAAGTTGGGTTGTGCATGCTAGGGATGTATCTACAAAGACCCTATTACAGTACAAATATTATAATGTTATGGATAACCATGTATTAGCCCTCCTTAACTAGTGTGTGAGTGTAGCTAAACAGAAGATTTTGTATGTAGATATTGGAAAGTAATTAACCTTTTCTTTTATAGTGTTCTTAAATGAAGCAGGTTTCAACTTCGTGAGGAAATGTATTCATGCTGTAGAAACAAGAGGTGTGTATTAAACCACAAATAAGGTATTAGACTGTTGTGACCTTTTTCTCTAAAACACCAACTTCTTTAATTCTACATGTTTTACAGCTGTACTTTGAAGTCTGTCCATTATTTGGTTTGGATTTCTCATATTTTATCTGTGTGCTTTACACTCCTAATTGTTGTCTTCAGTTCCAGCAACAATTCTTAACATATCATTTAAGTGAGATTTTTAAATTTTTTCTGTAATTTCTTGTTGATTAGACAGCTTAATACACAGTTGCACACATCTTTAGTCTTTCATTTGTGTGCACTGACTTGACTTTTCTTGTGATACAGCTGTAGGGAGTCTCAGCTCCCAACTTTGGTTTCAGGTATGACATCTGAATACCCAAAAGTGACATCAATGCTCTCTGCTGGTACATCTGTTTTTTTGCAGAGTATTACTCCTATTATGTTATTCACTAATATTGTACATTGTTGGGTTTTTTGTTTTTTTTTTTATGTTTAGCAGCACTTAATGTTTAGCCACACTCATTTTTGTTAATGGGAATGTAAAAAAAGAAGTAATAATCACTGCTGATGAGGTGGTATCAAACACCTCACAGTAAGTTTTAAATGGAGAGTTATGGCTGTATCATCTCCTATAGAATGAGATAACCTTTTCATGAGCTGTCAGTGTGCAGATCTCTTCTAATCCAAATGTGGTCTCTCTGTGCAACTTTGAGCTCAACTTGAATTCAGTTTCTCAGCCAGCAATGTTATCATTGTTGAGTCACTGCTGACTCAGAGCTTGCATTGTTTTCTGGGGCAGCGAGTGTAAAAGAGGGTTTCAAAACAAAGCACCTACATTATGTATGAGAGATCAGATTTAGGAATGTTGTTTTCAAGGGAAAAGTAAACAATTTTTAAATGTTAAGGCTTGAAGTGGGGAGAATGGAAGACATTTAAACCCTGCTGATTTTAAAAGGCAGTTAAAAATAATAAAATAATTATGACTAACTTAATTAAATAGTGTATTCTGAATGTCACTCTTTAAACATTATTTGTTATTATTATCTGTGCTATTAAAAAAGACCTGGCAATTTTAACTGGCAACATAAATTCTCAATTGATGTGTTACAACAGTATACAGTATTTTTTTTGTTTTCATACCACTGTCAGTCACATCTTATTTGAAAGAGATGATGGTCTAAGCAAACACAGAAGCTAGTGATTCCACTGACATCTAGACAATATAAACTTGTTGATGTGTAATGTGTTTTAAGACTGCTTTTGGATCTTATTTTTTACTTTTCCTGTCCATCACCTTGTTGTTTGCTAATATAGGTCATTTCTATGCAGAAGTGTTCTGTTAATGTAAAATTATGCTTAGGGTGTAGTATGATGTGGACTCAGTGGAATAAATTTGTTAATATCCCACAAGAGATTGCAGTAGGGTAAAGCAATACTTAAGAATGCAATGGTACAGTTTTTCATAAATACATCTAGATGTTTTGAAAACATATTCCAAGAATGCATCAGCATATATTGAAATAACCATATTTATATTGTTTTAATTATTTTCATTTATTTGATTTCCCAATGTAGGTATTACAATCCTGGGGCTGTACAGAATAGGTGGTGTAAATTCCAAAGTGCAAAAGCTGATGAATACCATATTTTGTAAGTATCCGAAGTGAACTTTTGTCAGTGTGCAGTGTGTGTGCTGTGATCCCTTTTGCCTTAAGTGCTATGCTCAGAAGAGTGTGTCATAATATTCACAATATTGTGTGTGCATTTACTGCCACTAAATTGAGTTTGCACTCTTAAAATGAAAGATTCATCTGTAGTTTCTTGTGTGCATTAGTATTCACTTCTGCATGTTACACATGAGCAAATTACTAAGAAAAATGCTTTTCTTCTTCTAGCTTTAAAGTTCTATTTATTGATATATATATTTGGCATGTTTCACAAGTTCTCCAAAGCTTAGTTCCATAACACATCATGGCTCACCTTAACAGACACTTGTCCCAGTCTTTCACTTTTCTTGCTGATTGATCTCTTTGATGCTTGTGTTTGCATGTCTAAGACAAATGAATTAGTAATTCTCTGTGGACTTGGGCTTACTTAGCACTTTGATCCAGTGCATAACGTTAATGTTTACTATTATTAACTATTAATTATAACTATTAATTATTAAATATGAGCACTGAATTTATTTTTATTAATAGTTTGGCAAAGATGAAAATATTTAAATTGATCAGATTGGTGGTTAGTCTAGATAATAAATAATTAATTGAGCTAAATGGCTGATCTAGTAGCTTCTGTTTTGCTACTTTTCTAGTTAATGTGTTATTCAAACTGTAACAAAACCCTAATTCAAATTTCTACCAGCCCCTAAATCACCTCCTGATATGGATATTGATATGGAAATTTGGGACAATAAAACAATAACAAGTGGACTAAAAAACTACCTCAGGTAAGTATGATCCAACACAGTTCCAGTATTCCTTTTCTGGACCATTAATCTTTGGCTTGTTAATATCATATAACATTTCTTATATCCGTTGCCATGGTAATAAATGAGTATTTTATTGTCCTGCTTAATATTCCTGTGATTATGTATAATAGTACATACCTTCAACCTTTTTAAGATAATCCTCCTTTATACAGCCCTAAATTCAATTAATTGCTTGTTTTTATTTAGTTTTTTTTATAATAACCACAAAGCATGTTGCATTTAGTCTTCTCTTTGTGAGTCCTTTAAGTTGTGTACCATAAAATTTCATGACATTATGGTTGAATGAAAATCCCAGCAAAAGCATAGGTTTTTATCTTATGCTTTTACTATCTTCACAAATAAAATATCCCTTCTGCCATTTTTGCTGATAAGATACAGAATATTCAAAAATTATTGTACTTCTGATATAACTCTTTTGGATCTCAATATATAATATTCAATAGAGACATAATAAAAAGTATCCCACCCAAATGGTGGCTGTTCTATGCCTCCTACAAATCTAGATTTCCTAAACAAATCCCCTAACAAAGGGCATCATCAGAAATCCCTATTAACCTGGAAAACATGCCCAGGATTTATAGCAGAATGTTCATGTACATTTCATTGAAAAGACTGGCTTTGGTTGAAGAAATTTATAATACATCTTCAGCAGCACAGGTTGTTGTAGGTACTGTGTTTGTGAAATTAGGACATGAGCGAGCAAACAGTGGCTGTGTGTGTCTGTAACCCAACTCACAGACTGCCTTTCAGAGGATGACTCTTCTAAGATCTCTCAGATCATAATTTCTGTCCCAAATTTCATCATATTTTTGCCTTTCTTGGGCAAAAGGTTGCTTCTGCAGCCCACTCTACTGTGTCTGCAGCTGTATTTATTCCTGTCCTACAATATGGAAGCCAGGAAACATTGAGGCTCTGTGCTGAAGTAACATTTTCCTTATTGACTTATATGGTGACACCAGATTCCACTCAAATTGATTTTCAGACAGTGTACATGACTGAGTTGTGTACTACTTGTAATCAGTAATCACTGAATTGGATTTCCTAGGACCAGTAGAACGTTGTGCAGATGTTGAGGGCTATCATAATCACACTCATAAAACTTGGATTTTGAGTCTGTTTTAAATTAAAAATTTGGTTTTTTTACAACCAGGTGTCTTTCAGAACCACTGATGACTTTCAAGCTGCACAAAGATTTCATTGTTGCTGTTAGTAAGTAAAAAGTAAAATGATAAATATGCTTTCATGAAAGTAATATTGTTTCTAACCTCTAATCTCCTCAGTCACTATCTTTACTTTTCTCCTTGCTCTAATATGCAGCGGTCCAGCCCTCAAAACAGAGAAGTCACACTAGATGAAGCTGTTCAGTGGTTTGTTCTGATCTTTTAAGTGGTTCTGTGTGGCTGCATTCTGCATGAAGTTTTCTACTCTCGTTTAGATGTTTGTTTGTTTGTTTGTTTGTTTGTTTTATATAGGCTGGTAATTCTTTTTTAACATTCATCCCTCTCATCCAGGGATCTTTATTTTCCTAGCTTGCCTTGAGAAATCAGAAAGGGCAAAAGTGAACTCCTTTTCACAAATGGAGTAATTTGATACAAAGATAGCAGAAATCATTTTTCTAATGACTTCAGTTTAGAATTTGAAGATATTTCTCCATTTTCTCTTGTCTTGATAAGAATAAAAGGCACAAAATAATTTTAGCTGTTTTAACCTATATTTCTTAGATTAAATCTAAGACTTCACTGAAGTGGCATATCAAGTCGATAATGCCATTAATTTGTTGGTTCTAGTATTGATAATAATTGCTTTAGGCGAGTTACTTGAAATGCAGATTTCACAGTGTAATAAATATAATCAAATTTTCCTCATCATTTGAAAGCTAATTTTGTTTGGCTCCTCTTAATGCATGTTTGTGTTAGCATACAGGCTCTGATGCCATTTGTAGTCACTTCTTAGCACATGTTCTGATTTATCAACGATTTGTTTTCTGTTTAATAGAGTCAGATGATCAGAACTACAGAGTTGAGGCAGTGCATGCACTTGTGCATAAATTACCAGAGAAGAACAGAGAGATGCTGGACATCCTTATTAAGCACTTGGTCAAGTAATTATTTTTTATTTTTCTCTTTGGTATTATTGTAAGATGTTATAATTTCTGCTTTAAATTTGTCAGTGTCGCTTAATCAGTTCTCTGTGTTGAAACAATGACACTTGAAATTACATTTGATTTCTAAAATGCTATTCTCAACTGGAATAATACTGTCTGTAGAAACAGAATGAAAACATGATAAAGTGTCACGAAGATGGCCAACCATGTCTATAAAATAAACCTAGTCAATGTTTTCATTCATGTTCTTACTTACTACAGGACTTGTAACCAGTTAAATTTAAGAAACATCTAACACTATGCCAAGATTGATAGAAAACACAGGTTTGAATCTGTCTCAAAGTCCCAGAGTGTTTCAGGAATGAGATAGATCAGAAAGGAGATAGAATGAGATAAATGATGTGATAATTCCTGTTCAAGTTTGATCTTGTTTTTCTTTCTAACAAGTCTGAAGTGTAGTATCACTTGAAAGCACTAATTTGAAGTATTTTTATTTATATTTTTGATAGCTACATAAATGTCCAACTTTTGAATTTTCCTTAATATTCCATTGATTTTTAATTGTCAGATGGAAACCGTTTTGCATTTATTTAAATTGGTGACCTTTTGTCTTCACAGAATTACATTTGGCACATTCTGTGAGATAAGAAAAGAGAAGTTTTTATTCTCTTAAGTTTCTGTACATCTTTGGTTAGTTTTTGCTGGTATTTGCTCAAAACTTTAGAGTATGTATTATTATTTCTGATTTAGGATACTGTGTAGTACATTTATCAGTCATGTGGGAATGTGAATAGTGCAACAGTAGCTGTTCAGATAAAGCTCACATGACTTAGACATTTAGAAGACATGAGAAGAGTCCATGTTGTTTTCATTCAATTCACTACATCCCAGATGTTTTGCTTTTTTGATCACAGCTTGAGTTACAGGCTGCAGTAAGCTGTCTACAGTGGAGCCTAATGCACTTTTGCTTCCTGTTGTAGAAATGAGAACTTTGAACATTTCTTTGACAGGAAATCATTTAGATTTCCTACAGAAATGTTTTTAGCCCATTATGTCACTTGCTCCTGGAGAACTAGCATTATAGAAAGCTGCTGTAAATGCATTCATTGCAAAACCTGGTTAGGCAGACCTTGCCTCTCATTATAAATGGGCTGACACAGAGAGCCAGATGGAAAAAAGTTTTTTTACTCACAGAATTGTTTAACTAACTAAAAAGTACAATACCTACTCCCTTGGAACCCTCAAAAAAGTGAAAGTATTTCATGAAGGATTAACAATTTTGTAAAAGCTGCTGTTCTGGAAGCTTCAAAATTAGAGATATATAAGCATAGGAACTGACTTATTTGTCAGTGCAATTACTGTTAGGCAGTAGTTAAGCATTTCTTTCTTGACTTCTTTTACTTTCTTGACTTCTTTTCCTGGCCTCATTATTCTCATATGCAATTCCAAAGAAAAGCATACCTGCAGTATTCCTTTCTTCAATTGTTCTCTTTATCTCTTGCTTTTCTCATCTTTGTTGTGATTCTTATTTCATATAGATGTAATCTTACTTTTAAACCGAATGCTTTCAGTACTTTTCATTCCAATGTTCGATTCACCCCTTCTAATTTCTATATAATTTGCCAGCTGTTGTTTATGCTAGCAATTCTAATGAGACTGAATTTAAAATTAGTCTTTAGAGTGTATTAGCCATCTTTCTCCCTCATCTTTTTCCTACAATTGTGTAGAGATTTTTCAAGGAACAAATAAATGGCAGATAAAGTGCCTAATTTTATGAAAATGGGAAAACTTGAGGGAAAAAAAAGAATTCCAACCTCCTGTTTTCATTGTTTTGTTGAAAATACAATTTCAAAGTGCATAATTTCATTCCCTATATTTCTTTTAGCTGTTTAGTTCCTTTATGAATGCTTTTGCAGCAAAGTGAAAATACTGTAGCTCTGGGTTATAAAATAAGGGTAATGTTATTTTTTCTTGGTTCAAGTTATAAGGCCTTTACGTCTTTGCCTAGCTTGACATTTGTGTTACTGTGCAAATTTAAATAGGATCAGATGATGTGGGATGTAGATCATACTGGAAACAAACAAGCAAAACTGGCAAATCCTGAAAAGCACCCTGGAGAGGTGGGATACTGCATGGATACATAGTCAGTAGCTAGGCAAACATGGCAAGTTTGCTGTTACTTTCACATGAGTAACTCATTTTTTAGTTCTTAAACCTACCTAGTCAAATTATCTCTACTCTAAAGAGTGAATCATTCTTTGGTCAGGATTTAACAATACAATGCTTTTCTATGGTAGGTAGTTGGGAATGTGCAGTCTGGCAGTATCACAAATTTGCTCGTGATACATCAAATGAAGAGATTCTGAGGAGAAAGCAATGGCATCTCCAGGAATGGCCTACAGCTACCTGGAATGCATGATTACCTCAGCTTGTGTCTGTGCTGAAGCTGAGCACCAGTAGGAGTAGGTCAAGGGAAAGTGGCAATCAAAATGATCCATTTACAGCCCTGGGTTCTTTCTCTTTTGTAAGAAATTGAGCCTTTGAAATGCGTTGTAGAAAGCCCTTTCTGGCTGCAGCGTTATTAACACTGCCATTTCTTTTTTTATTAACCAAGCTCCTACATTTGTAACCAAGGAAACCCAAACACCAGACAAACACTACCTTCTCTCTTATGCTATAAGATTATGTGTGTGTACCAGATTTCTACAGTTGCTGTGCAGCACACAGCAGAGTAACACTGCAAAGGGAGGGGTTCTTTTCAGTTTTTTAGAGCTGAGTTATTCAACAGTTTCACTAAAATACTAGCAGACTTCCCAAAAGACCCTTAGTCAT